CTTCCTTCCTTCCTTCCTTCCTTCCTTCCTTCCTTCCTCCCTTCCTCCCTTCCTCCCTTCCTCCCTTCCTCCCTTCCTCCCTTCCTCCCTTCCTCCTTCCTTTTTTAAGCCCTGTCCTCTTTTTCCTTTCCTTCTTGAATTCCAATGACACAAATGTCAGATCTCTGAGACTCTGTGTGGGGATTTAAAAAAAATTTTTTATTATTTGTTTGTAGTGTATTTTTTTTGTTACTCAGATTGGATAATTTCTATTGTTCTATCTTCAATTTAATGATTCTTTGTCTCCTCCATTCTGGTGTTGACTCCATCCATTAAGTTTTACTCTGATTACTGTAGTTTTCAGCTCTAAAATTTCCATTTGGTTCTTCTTTGTATCTTCCATTTCTTTCTGAGACTCTATTTTTCCATTTGTTTCAAGCACCTTTCTAATTGTTTATTGAAGCACTTTATAATGGCTGCTTTAAAATTGTCAGATTATTCTAACATCTCTATCAACTTGGGGTTGGCAACTGGTAATCTTTTCTTATTCAAGTTGAGGTCATCCTGATTCTTGGTATGACAAATGATTTTTTTATTGAAATCTGGACATTTGGGGCATTATGAGACTCTGAATCTTATATATACATTCAGTTTTAGCTGGCTTTCTCTGATTTGAGCAAGATAAGGAGGAATGCCACCTCATGGGTATAGAAGTGCAGGTTACCCATTTTTTCCCCAGTTGACACCTGAGGAAGGAAGGGGCACTTGCTGGTCAGCAGTTGGAGTTCTGGATCCCTAGTAGGCTGCTCTGATACCACTTTGCTCTCTAGTTGTCTTCCATTGATGTTGTGGAGGATGGTCAAGGTCTTCACTTTCCACTAAGCTTCCTCAAACACTACCCCAGCAAGGAGGGGTGGATCACCTTGTTACTATTGGGCAAGGCTTAGAAGTCCAGGCTCCCTATGGACTCTCCGCTGTAACTGTGGTAGGGAGGCTTGTTACCACACACTGGGGATGAAGCCCTGGTCCCCAGGGTTCACCTCCTTTAACACCATCCCTGTAGGGGTTGTGTTGCCTTGTTAAAGTCTGCTGGTGGTAAAAGTATAGACTCCCCACTTGACCTTTGCAGGCTGGGTGAAGGTTGGGCCACATGTGTGTGTGTGTGTGTGTGTGTGTGTGTACACATGCGTGCGTGCTGCATGGCTAGAGTAGAGCGTTTATTATCTAAAAAGTTTTCTGTATTACTAGTCTCTTTTCTTGATCCTTTAGCTAGAAAGAGCAAGACTTTGTTGGGCTTTTATTGTCTAAACCCTTTGGTATTTCTAGTTGCCATTTTCTGTAACTCCATGCCCGAGATATATGAGGTAATAAGAAAATCTAGAGATTTTACCATCATATACTTCCTCGGGTCCCAAGGTTCTTTGTGGTCTCTCTTCT